TAACTATGACTTTAACCAGAGGATCACAGAGATGTGAATGAAGCTTTTATGCACTTCAGAGTTAAGGAAAAAATATCCTGGAGAGGGCAATACGTAGACTGGTTGGCATGACACCTTGGACACAGCTCATAATGGGGGGTTCTTAAATACTTTCACAGTATGGATCTTGTCTTCAGAGTGTAACGGGGGAAGCTTGCCTCTCATGGGGCGTTCATTCCCTTCCATTCACTCTTGGATGGATCTCCACCTTTGTATCTGTTTTTATCTTCACACCCATTCACAGCCATCATCTCTCTCATGAACCATCACTAGATTCACTAACATCCCTATGGCAAAAGCATGGGGAGCTCCCAGCCCCAGGACAGGCAGAAGCATGGGCCATGCTAGCTGCCTGCAAGCAAGCAGCAAGAACTATTTTAGCCAAATACTTAGCTTTTTTTAAGTATGGCAGCAGGGCAAGGGCAAAGCAGGAGAAGATCTGACAATAGGCAGAATTCCCAGGGTTCAGCCTAGTGGGGTCCTCATGTAGAAGAAGCCACAGATACTGAGGAGAATGCCCCTTGGGCTCAGTCAGTGATCTGGGTTTTCTGTTTCCCGTGGAAAAATGTGGATTTCCCCCTTTAAAGGAGAAAAACCCAGATTTCCCCCTTTGAAGTGGAAAACTGTGGGTTTGCCCTTGCAGGCTGGCAGAGTTCCAGCCTGCGATGAACTGCTTGGGGCTGGGAGGAGCAGGGTGGAAGGTGATCAGAGGCAGAGGGCACCATGTGTATGCACACCAGCATGCACACGTGGCCGGCAATACTCAGGCAGGGTGGTCGGAGCAATCCCAGCACTGGATACATGTAAGTCTCTGGGATGGAGTGGGGAGGAGGGGGGTGTTGGAGGGTCAGGGTTTGGGGACCATTTGGGCACAGTCCAGACATGCCCATTGGCGATGAGTTGGTGGTCATGGTGGGGTTGGCACATTCTCCTCCAGATTTCTGTGCCAACAGCATGGCACAGGGCATGGGGCTGCAGCTTGACCAGACTGGCACTGGGCAGGAGCCGCCTCTGGCCCTGTGGGTAGGACTTGGCAAGGGAGGGTAGAGCCTGGCGGGAAGACTCATTGCTGCTGCCACCCCAGCTGCCGAGAACCCCCCACCAGCCCTGCTGCCATGGCCACCTAGGTGAGGCAACCCCTGCCAAGCCAGCAGTGAGGGCGGTGGTGGCAGTGTGGAATTGTGCCCCGCACTGTGGTGGTGGGCAGGGGGAACCTCACCAGGGCGGCGAGGCTGGAGCAGGACTCCCGGCAGCAGTGTAAGCACCAAGTTTCCCTGCCCCACTCTGCTCTCCTGCACCGGGTCCTGCCCACAGGGTCATGGAGGTGGCTCCTGCCTGGTGCTGATCCAGCCAGGCTGCAGTCTCGTGCCCCATGCCCTGTTGTTGGCACAGAAATCTGGCGGGGGTATGTGCCTCCCCATGTCCCCCTGATGCATTGCCAATGATGTCCCTTATGTCCACACACTCCCTGTGCCACGTATCCCCTGCTTAACACACACACCCTTCCCCACATACCTGCTGGGCAGGGAGGGGGGTGGTTGCACTGGGTGGGGGGCGGGGGCGTGGCGTGAGGGGGGCATGGTGTCCGGCCACAAGGTGCCATTCAGGGAGCCGGTGCAGGAATGTCCGCTGGCAGCAGCACATGGCCACGGGCTGGGGTGCGCCCCCCACGCCCGATCCCGATATGGCACCCTGTGGCTGCGCTCCATGCCGCCGTATGCACCCTGTGCCATACCCCAGGGCCACGCCCCATGCCACGCAGCCGGTGGGTGCTCCCCCTGCTGTGGCCGCTCCCCCTGCTGTGGCCACTCCCCATGTCATGCCCCTGGGCCACATGCCACCCCCCATGCATCCACGCACCACGGCATCCACACTCCCTGCGCCACACTCCAGGGCCACTCTCCGTACCACATAGTTGCAGCCATCAGGCGCTCCCTGTGCTGTGGCTGTTCACTGTGTCATGACCTGTGGCTGCAGGCCCCCCCCATGCACTATGCCACCCCCCTATATGCTACACCCTGCTGCGCATCCTGTGCCACACCCTGGGGCTGTGCCACATGCCAAGTGGCCGGTGGGTGCTCCCCCTGCCATGGCCACTCCCCACACCATTTCCCATGGCTGTGTGCCACTCCCCCACATGCCCATGTGCCACCCACCCCATGCGCCACACCACCCTACCACACGTAATGCCCCCGCCCCATGCCACTCAGGCACAGCCTGTGGGCATTCCCTGTGTTCCCGCACCATGGCCTCTTCCCATGCCATGTTCTATGGTTGCATGCCACACCCCCCGAAGCAGCTATGCGCCATGCCTCCCCCACATGCCTCACGCAACACCCTGGGGCCGCTCCCCATGCCACATCCTGTGGCCATGTGCCACGCACCCCATGCTACACCCTGGGGCTGCTGCCCATACCATGTGGCTGCAGCCGGTGGGTGTTCCCTGTGCCCCCATGCCATGGCTTCTCCCCATGCCGTTTCCCACCCCCCACCCCAGAGCTGTGGTGCGGGGGTGGGGTTGGATCCAGAGTGGCAGGGGGAGCGGGGCATTACCCAGAACGGCAGTGGGAGCAGGGCAGGACCTAGAGTGGTAGCAGGGGGTGGAGCAGGGCAGGACCCAGAGCAGCAGTGGGAGGTGGGGTTGCAGGGCTGGACCCAGAGCGGTGTGGGGAAGGCATGGAGTTGGATGCAGGTCTCCATCCCTGCTCAGGCTCCCCCACTGTCATTCATGACAGGCATTGTGTTAATTTTATTAAAATGACTGAGGCACTGGTAGGCTTCCAAATTGCTTTAACATTGTAAATATATCAATAAAAGATTGTGGCCAACAGATATTTCTATATATAGATCTATATATATAGAGGCATTTCATTTTAATCACATAAAAATGCAGATAATGCAAAATAATGCAGATAATGCATAAAAATGCAAAATAATGTGATGTGAACTGGTTGCTCCCTCTCTCTCTCTGCAGGTTTTATAGACAACACAGCAGGAAATGAAAAATTTCTTGGGAATCAGTGTTTAGGGATTCCTATATGTGTTAAAGGTGACCTTTGTGTGAATTAAAGCAGAACTGCACAACTGCATGTCACAGGCAGTGTCCATTTACTAGTGACCCTCACATGGTAATGGCCTGAGCTTGTGGGGTGGGACACTTTTCTGAGCAATCAAGGGAAGTATCAGCCTGACAACTGTGCCAGCTTAGGTACCCACTCATTTGTTACAATACGGCTCCTCACAACATCACGCATTAATTTTTCATGCTGGCCACTTTCTGAAATGTAGCACTAATGAGGTCTCTTCTGCAAATGCACAGTTCCTGCCCTGATAATTACACACGCCATTTTTCTTAAATTGCATTTTGGCTTACGTCACAAGAATCACCGGTGCACATCCAGAAAGGAAACTGGTAGTATAGCTGCGGCTTTAAGGTCTGTAGCACTGAAGCCTGAAATGTGCCCTTGAAGCAATGACATTAACTTGACTACAGAGACTGTCCTTGGAACTAATGGAGACTTAGGCTGCCGGGCAGACGCAAGAGGAAGAATAATGGTTCATTGAGGTACTCCCTGGAGAAGGATGAAATAGCTTTGTGTTAGGGTTATAAAGGCAGTTATCGCTGTAATAGAATTTATTGCTGTCAGATCAAGTTAGTCTGAATCATTTGCAAACTTCCTTGTGCAATTTAGAGGTGGCCTATCTTTAGCTCAGGGAGCTGGAAGGGGAGCGGGAGCCAACAATGGGAAACGGATGTAACCACATATATTTTCTTGGCCAGCCAACTCCCATTCCTCTGCTCACTCCAGCCCCCTTCCCTGCCCCCCATACTCTGATCTGGTCTTTGATACATCATTTTGCCAGCAGAACCTCTCATATTTTTTGTGTCCGTACTTACTACTTCCCTCAGTGGTATAACCCCATCGTGCTGCCAGCACTGGGATATTGGCAGCTGGTAGGTGTGTATACATATACATGCTTGCTCCTCCTGCCAGCTACTGTGGTCCCTTTAACAGCTGCCTACCCAGGGTGCACTTCATGACCTACTAGCATAGCTGGTAAGATGGAAATACAGATCTCACGTGGTTCCTGCAAAAGCATCTCAGTGCAGAAGAGGCCCATCTCTCTCCCCTTTCCTCTCTCCCCCTGAGAGTATGTCACTAGCACAAGGGAAACAAAACTGATACAAACCAACTCTCAGTTAGGAAAAGTTCCTCTCCTGAGTCCTCGTGGATCTCAACAATAGTGGGTTTTTGCTTGCCAAGGCTCTCTGTTTTAGACTGTGCCATGGCATTGCTGCAAAATGTGCAGCCCCCAGAGCCACTGCAGAAAGGGACCTGCTCTTAAATCCCACAAAAATCTGTCTCTCCTCTGGGGTAACACCAAAGGTCAGGCAGGTATGCGACTGTGTGACATCATAGACACCTGTGACCAATGAAGGCCTAGCAGGGTGGACAATGTAAGTGAGGTTATGGAAATCTAAACTGGGTCAAGTGCTAGTTTTCTGGACGCTCTGGAGAGTAAGTATTATTCTTTACAGAAAAATGAAGAATCAACTAGTGATGAAATTATTCAGTGTCCCTGTAACAGCTGCCTACTTAGGAAGCACGTCATGTCCTACTGACCCAATGATGCATGTCCTCTGGCCAGGGGAGGACTTTGTCAGGCAGTCTCCTCAGAGCGTTCCTGGCTGCTGGGACCAGGTTTCTCCACAAAGATCAGATATTGCTGGGCCCTGAAGAGGATGGAAAGTGTCTGCTAATGATAAACAGCAGTTGGAAAACTTTTTCCACTCTAGGGGCAGTGGTGTGTCAGCACCCCTTCCTTTCCATGGGCCCTAGGGTGGCCATCATAGAGGACGTTCCGGTTTTCTACTACTCTGTCCTCTATCGATACGAAACCCGATGCCTTATGTCCTCTATTTTTCTCTTCAAGAAAAAAATAGAGGACATAAAGGTGTCCGGTTTCAGATCAATAGAGGACAGAGGACAACCAGGCTGTCCTCTATGATGGCCACCCTATCCACAGCACAATCCATCTCACTGAGCCAAACTCCCTATGGCTTCCTCTCCTTCTCCTGGCCCCATAAGCCTTTCCCTTCTTGCTACCCATGAACCAGCATCAAGAAAAGGGCTGGAGAGGTGCTTTGGCCAATATGGACATAGAATCTAAGTGCCGCCTAAGCGTCAAAAATTATGCTAAGTGCTACTTAGGTGCATAAAGGTGAAATACGGTTCAGCCTTTATGTGTAGATGAACAGTTAGTTGCACGTGTACTAATGGGTTCAGCAAGATAGAAAGTTATTGTTTTCTGGAGGGAGTTGAAAGAGGGATGTTTCAAGTGAAATTTTAATGCTCATCTTTTTCAGGTAAAGGCCTTTGCAGTATTGACATCTCCTATCATTTTATCACCAGTCTCGTAATATTTGATGGTTTTTTCCCCCCCCTTAAAGCCCTGCCTAGTCCCTGAAATTGTGTTAGTAAGGGAAAATCTCAGCTTGCAAAAAAAAAAAATGTTTCTCAGCCTTGCGGCTGTGGAAAAAGCCTAGAAATATGAAATGAAAGAAAGGTTCAAACACCAAAAGACAAATACAAAGAAATCTCATGCTTCTGAAGCTACTCTATTGGTATTCTGGGTGCCTGACTCATGACTTGTGAATGCTTGTGGTTGGCAACACTGACTTCGACACTCCTCCTTTCAAAACACATCTGACTCCAGAGCACTGAATACTGGGTCAGGTTCTCTGTGGATACAAATCAAAGTAACTCTATTTAACTATGATGATTTATGTCAGCTGAGGATCTGTCTCTTTTAGCTTCAATCCCTCCCCTACTTGAAGCCTGTTCAATTAGAGCAGAAACTAGACTGAGTTGCTTTGAGTCAGCCAATTCCGGCAATGTCCAGTAGATCCAGTGGATCAGAGAGACTGACAGCAGGGTTTCACTCTAGCTGGCACTTTGGATTCACTTCAGTAGCATTTGGTATTTTGAAAACAACAGGTTTAGTAGTGAAAAATTAATGCTGTCTTATTCAGTTATCAGCAGGCAAACAGTAGGTAACGGGAGTTTTGGGGGGCATGTGTGCAGCCTTTTTTCTAGGCACATTTCTAGGCTTGATAACAGGATAGTCAATGATGGAGCAATGGTGTGATCTGTAATAGATGCACCAAGTTCTTTCCTGTGTGAAGACAGAAGGGACGTCTAGTGTTTGCAAGTCAAGTTGGTAGGTGTGCTGGAAGAAAGATTCAGTGTTTGGAAGGGCAAATGCTGATGTTGTGGGGGATCGGAGCAAATAAGAAGCACTTGGACAATCAGAGTCTGGAACAACGCTACCTCGGATTCAAGAACCAAAGGAAATGGCTGCTAAGGAATCAGAAAGAGTGGAAATCAGAAAGGAAATGACAGTTTGTTACCACCAGAGTCACGGCAAGTGGTATTATACACAGCTAGAGGGGAAAAATGATGTGGTGGGTGTGACTACCAAAAACAAGAGCATCAGAAGGAATTCCACACAGCAAGAATCATTTGATTATTACCAGGTCATAAGCACAGAAACTTCAGAAAATATCTCTGAAGATCCAGGTCAGCCCAACAAGAACACCTCTGAAGAGATCTCCAGCCATTCAAGGAAGAGAAATGATCCTGATCAAGGGCTCTGGTCTTAGAAGAAAAGACTTTTCTACAAGGGAAACCAAACCAGGTAGAAAACAGGAGAGAGGGCTGCCTTCTAAAAGCCAAGTCGCAAGGCCTCAAACCTTCCGTCTTGGTCTCGGATTTAGGTCAAGATATAATTGTAAGACTGGATAGACGCTATCACACTAATACGATGACTTTGTGTGTTACCCATAAAATATAAACAACTTTAGACCTTGGAAGAAAGAGTGTTAAAGGAGAAGAAAACCAAAGTAATCTCAGAGATCCATCCTGTTCCAGGGAGAAAGAAAGACAGAAGACATAACACTTGGATATTGAGTCACTGGCCAGGTAAATGGTGTAAGGCATGTTGGTCTTTTTTGTATAATTTGTTTGCTTTTGATGGGCAGAAAGGCCTGTATAGTTTGGATAGTCTCCATCTTAGCAGAAAGATCATTAATCTTCTAAGGGCTGGCTGGGTAGACTAATCAAAAGGATGATAAGCTAAATATAGAAGGGAAGACAGAAAAGTGTGAACAAGACCAGAATCATTCAGTTCAAAATCAATGTGTTCAGGAAGAAGTGTATCAAGGCACTGAAGGACATGAAGAGAAAAGGAATGTTTAATTGCTTATACACTAATACTTAGAGCCTGCGTAAAAAACAAGAGGAACTAAAATTGCTCACTAGGCATAAGTTTTACTTTGTTGATGTTTCTGAAACATGGTAGGAAGATTCACATGGTTGGAACGAGAAAATCAGTGGGTTGAACACATTTAGGAAGGACTACGTGGGCAAAAAGGGCCAAGGGAGCTGCACTCTGTCAAAAATGACATTTCATGTTTCCAGTTCACTGACAACTTGGAAGCTAATGATCTTGAATGCATATGCATTAATACTAACAGATAAAAAGCACAAGATGTGGTACTTGTTTGTCTCTGCTACAGATTACCAGGTCACATAAGAGAGCAAGATGACCCACTCCTTAGAAACCTACCTGTAAAGGGGTAGGGAAATAAACTTTATTATTATATGGGTGCTTCAGTCTAAGTGACATATAGAAGTCTCCAGTTACGAACATTAAAACTCCTTTGACACATCTGAAAAAATTGCAGATGACAGTTTTTTAATTAAAAAAAAGGATTGTATCCAACAGGAGAAACCCTAGATTAGCTCTTATTTTGACAGATAAAAAGAAATTTATCAGAAGTAAAAATTAGTGGTTGCTTAGATGCAGGTGGTCATGTCTTGATCATAACTGTCATGTGCAAACAGAATAAAGTCCAGACCGGTAATACATATGTCCTTGGTACTTTAAAAACTAAAAAACTAGAAAAACTGAAAGCAATTATGAACCTAATCGACTGAGAGAAAGAACTTAAACAGAAAAATGTGAATAGTAATCAGGTACTTTTAGAGAACACTTTACTAGCTATCCAAAAAAGTCGTAATCCCACAATTGCCAAAGGTGGCTAGTTAAAAACCAGCATGGCTTACAGGTAGGCTGGCCATAAGGAAATCCGGGACATCAAGGGCATTCACCCGGGACATCACAGTTGCTGTCTTCCCTCCCCCTGCCTGTGCTCTCACAGGTCAGCACTCAGCAGGAGTGGGGCGGCATGCTCAGCAGGCAGCGGTTCAAAGCACTTCACACTGCTCTGACTCCTGGCCAGACTGCTCCCCATGCCCCTGCTTTTCTGGGACACCCATTATAATTCCCAGCAGCTGGCTGGGACCAGCCTCTGAAATACGGCAACTGTCCTGGCTAAACCGGGACATATGATCACCTTACTTACAGGGGAAATGAAAGTAGCCATGCAAAATAAAAGTAGTATATATTACAATGAAAAAAGGATAAGTACAGGTTTCCCTTGCTTTATGCTGTACATGTGTTCCTGGAAAATGGTGCATAACTTGAATTTGCATAAAGGGAACCCACTTTACAATGTAATAAATAGGGATATGTTCCAAGACCTCGACTGTACTGACACCCAGACCCATTTCTGCCACTTTTACGAGACAATTTTGGTACTCGCCAACAGCAGACAGTGCACACAAGCACACGTGGTGGTGAATGTTACCATAATGGGGATGGGATGGCAACTACAGAAACATGTCGCAGACAACGAGCGAGGAGCACAGATCCACATAGGAGACTATATTTTGATGTGTGTCACTCCCACAATGCACTGCACAAAGCAGGTGACTGCGGGCATCCACCACACCGATCATATAAGAGTGAATGAACATCGCATATAGCGAATTTCTGGTAAAAAGGGCCATTTCATAAGAGCGACTTTGCACATACAGAACCTGCATAAAGTGAGGGAAACCTGTAAACAGTAATAAATATAAGCTAAAAGCTAAGAAGTATAGGATATGGATAAAGAAGTAAAAAGACACAAGGAAGATTTTATGGTCAGCAAAGTTAAAAACAATAAAAAAGTGTTTTTTTAAGTATAATGAAAACAAAAAGAATCCTAACAATAGCACTGGTACATTACTAGATGGACATGACAGAAACTAACTTGCATTCAGGAGTTTTAAAAGAGCTGACCAAGGGGTTCTCTAGAGCATTGAGGTTGCTTTTTTCCCCCCAAAAGTCATGAAACCCTGGGGATATTTCAGAGGAATGGAAGAAAGCCAATGCAACAGGATTTAAAGAAGGTAAATGGGATTGCCTGCCAGTCGCACATCAGTCTTTGGCAAAGTAATGGCTGACATGGAACTCTATAAAGATTAATAATTTAACTAATGCTGGTCATCATGGGTTAAAGAAAGTAGGCCTTGTGAAAAATTTAATTAGTCTGCTATCATTTACAAGCTTGGTTGATAAAGATAATACTGTTGATGGAATCAGCTTTTGTAAGACATTTGCCTTGGTAGCACATGACATCTCGATTAATCAACCAGAAAGATACAAAATCAGCATGACACACAATAAATGGATTAAAAGCAGATTAAATAAAAGATCTCTAAATTTAATTATAACCAAACAGCTGTGTTTCTAGTGCAGACCCTCAGGGATCGGTTCTTGGTTTTCAGCTATTTAACATTTTTATCAATGATGTGGAAGGAAACATGGAATTGTATGGATGAAGTTTTCAGATGGCCAAAAAATTGGGGGGATAGTAAGTAAATAAGAGAGTGGGTCAAAATTATGGCATTGCTGTGACATTTTCTGCCATCACACTGTTCACTCTGCTTGGGTGTTGCAACCTTTCCCCCACCCTGTATCTACCTTATCCAGTTAGACTGAAAGTTCTCTGGGACTGTTTCCTACACCGTGAGCATCAGTATGTGGGGCATCACAATGGGTCCTCATTCCCATTTGGCTCTTAGGCCCCACTGTAATAAACATGATTAATGAGAGTTATTAGTCACTATTACAGAACAATCTGGATTATTTGTTAAAATGGACCCCAGGAAATAATGTGTTGCATTGCAACCAGATGAATGGTCATGAATGTAAGAACAAGGAACGTAGGCCACATACAGGATGGGAATTCACTGGAAAATGGTGGCTCTGAGAGAGACTTAGGTATCACATAGGTAAATAACTGAACTTGAATTCCCAGTGTAATGCTGTGGCCAAAAGGCCTAATATGATCTTTAGCTTCATAAACAGGGGACTATCAGGGAGGAGTGGAGAGATTCTTCTAACCCTGTATTGGGAACTGTTGAAACCACAACTGGAAAGCTGTATCCTGTTCTAATACGCACACTTCAAGAAGGACGTAAAACAATTGGAAAGAGCTCAGAGAGCATCCATGAGAATGATAAAAGCATTCCTTAGAGTGAGAGACTCCAAGACCTCCATTTATTTATCTTATCAAAGAGAAAATAACAGATCACAGTCTGTAAGTATCTACATGGGGAATAGAAATGCGATACTAGTAGAGAGGGCTTGGGTTGTAGCTGTGTTGGTCTAAGGACATAGGCAGACAAGGTTCCTTGGGTGAATTTGATATCTTTTATTAGAGGTCTTCACACTATTAGACAAAGTTATAACAAGTCTGTTGGAAGCTGAAGCTATATCAGTTCAGACTAGAAATAAGAAATACTTTTTTAACATTGAGAATTACCATTGGAATAACTTACCAAAGACTGTGGTGGACTTTCCATCCCTGGGAACTTTTAAATTAGGACCAGATGTTCTTCTAAGGGAGATACCCATGTCCAAGCAGGAATTAATTCAGGGAAGTCATATGACCCGTGTCAGGCAGGAGCTCTGACTAGATCATCTCTGGATCTAACAAAACAAAAAGGAGAATCTCAGGGTGAGTAGTGTCTTCCAGTAAGGGAGACTGAACCCACTCAACAGTGCATATTCCTTTTTTCAATTACAGCAAGTGATTAGGCCATCAGATACATGGGCAATATCCACATGATTAGAAAGAAGCATGTTGCCAGCAGCACTGAGAAGGAAAACCCAATTGTCTGGAGGTATGTTATGCTTCTGTAATTAAGAGTGAATATACAAGTACATTATTTTTATATATTTCTGTTTAAAATGCCATTGAAAAGTAGATAGACCACTGAAAGCAGGTAACAACCCCCCCGAGACTAAAATACAACATCAACGTATAACAAAATGCAAAAACTACAAAGCTATAAACGAACCCTTGTCATTTATCTGATCGCTTTCTATGGTATATGTACATCAAATCTTTACTCTTGTTCAAAGCTTATGAAATGTTGGCTTTCTTGCAAAACTACACAATGCATAGAATCCAAGATACTTTATCAGTTCATGTCCTTTATCCAGTTTCTCCAGGGTACCTATCAGGCAGTGTAGAAACACCCATATAAAAATATTTTCCTACTGAGCAGAATAATTCCACAGACCCCTGATTAAACAAATATCTTTTGATTAGAGACAAAGCTACCCTACAAGCATAGACTAAACAAAGTTCTTATTCTTGGTCTTAAAACTGTTGACAGTATTTTCAAACAGGAATTAATCATGTCGTAATGCAATACTGTACTAGCTACTGCAGAATAAATATTATGCATAGCTACTCAATATCCAAATTCTTCAGGTTAATTAGATTATAAGGGATATATCCAATTCTTATTTAAGTCATATTTACACTTGACTTCACTGGAAGTTGGCCTGAATCGTAAAAGAGGAATACAAATCTAGGGGTAAATCTAGGCATTGTGTAGGTGCTGGTTGCTGAGAACGTGGCTGCGCTGTAGTTCTTGTCTGCTGTGGATGTTAGTGAACCCTGTTGTTTTTACCATTGGTGTGGTAATCTTGTTGAGATCTGGTTCTCTTGAATGTTGCTTGGCTATCTAGGGACCAGTTCTGCTCCCAATGTGCTGGCCAGGAAGCAGTGCTACCCAGCCAGAGGAAATTCTTTCAGCTCAACAATACTGGGCTCTTTGCTGCTCCCTCTCAGCCCCTGATGTTTTGATGCTGCCAAAGTGAGTAACAGAAAATGGCAACAAGCTTGTCCTTTTGGAGGTCCCATATTAGCTGTCCATTACTATAGCGGCATACATTGTAGAGCTCTATAATTAGTATTAACAATATGTCACTCCTAACAAAAGTCAGATGAGCCAGAGGAGTAGAGAACAACACACACTATTGATCAAAACCCAAATAAAAGTAAATCTCTCTCTCCAGTGGTGAGTCAGGCTCATTTGCTCTTTGTTGTCAAGGAAATAAGCCTGTCTGGCCAGATGCCAGGCAGGAAATTGAATGGTTGTAGAATCCCCTGGGCATAGCTACTTCATCCGGGAAGCATTACGGGCATCTCACATTGCTCATTGTCCGAGTCTTCCCTGCATTAGTTCATGATTACTCGGCTGTCCAAGTCACACATTCCCCTGGCTTTGGGGAAGGAAGACAAACAATCTTTAGACTCTCAGCTGGTCTGGGGGAGCTGGGGGAGTTTTAAGGGAAGGGAAGTGAAAGATGCCTTTCATTTTAGCTAACTTGATCTGCAGTGTAATGACACAGATGTTATATAGACCAATGCTCAGTAGGAACGATGTCCAAAACAGTAAAATAATTCAGTGATTTCCAGTATGATCTATTGCCGTTCTCTGCGTATATGCCCTGTATGCAGCAGTCATCTCCAGATCGCCGATCCCATTCTCAGACCTATCAAAGGTTCCCAACGGGGCATTATTACAGTGCTTTAAGCTGTTGTGAGTAGTATTTCAGCCTTCTCCTCCTATGCTGGGCCATGCTTCATGGCATGGCTTGTGTCCCAGGACATACTAACCCAGGAGCTGTCTAAGCACCAGTACACGCAAGTGTGCAGGATCTGATCCTAGAGGAAAAACAACCTGATCCACATATTTAAAAGTGAAAACCAGTGCAAAACAAATGTATGTGCCTCTTGATGATACATTGCATACACCTATTTTCTTTTTTGCTCAAGGTCTGTATTAGAATTACCAGGGCTCGTCTTCCCTGTGCTTGCTGGAGAAACTGGGCCATGTCATAGATTTCATAGACATTAGGGCTGGAAGGGACTTCGGAAGATCATTGAGTCCAGCCCCCTGCCCCAGGGGCAGGAAGTCAGCAGGGGTCATAGGATCCCAGCAAGATAAACATCCAGATGTCTTTTGAAGGTGTTCAGAATAGGTGTTTGAACCACCCCCGACGGCACTCTATTCCAGACCTTGGGGGCTTGGACAGTTAAGAATTTTTTCCTTATGTCCAGCCTGAAATGGTCATGGAGGAGTTTGTGACCGTTCGACCTTGTCATCCCTTGGGGCGCTCTGCTGAACAGACATTCTCACAGATCCTGGTGAGCACCCCTGATAAACTTATAGGTGGCCACCAGATCACCTCTGAGCCTGCGCTTTTCCAGGCTGAAGAGTCCCATAGATCTCAGCCTCGCATCATAAGGTCTGCTTTCTTGACCTCTGATCATGCACGTGGCTCTTCTCTGGACTCTCTCAAGCTTCTCCACATCCTTTTTGAATTGTGGAGCCCAAAACTGGACGCAGTACTCCAGCTGTGGCCTCACCAAGGCCGTGTACAATGGGAGATTGACGTCCTGGGATTTACTTGAGAAGCATCTGTGGATGCAAGCAAGCATTTTGCTCGCTTTACTAGCAGCAGTATCACATTGCAGGCTCATGTTCACCTTGTGGTCATTCATGACCCCCAAGTCCCCTTCGTCCATAGTGCTAGCCAGCGTAGCACTGCCGAGCCTATAAGGATGCTGCAGGTTTTTCTTCCCAAGGTGGAGAACCTTGCATTTTTCGGTGTTGAACACCATCAGGTTCTCGTCCGCCCATTTTCTGAGCCTGTCAAGGTCAGCCAGGATCACCCTCCTGTCCTCAGGTGTGGATGCTTTACCCCAGAGTTTGGTGTCATCAGCAAACTTGGCCAGTCCACTTTTGACACCAATGTCCACATCATTAATGAAGATGTTAAATAGTATAGGTCCTAGGACAGAGCCTTGGGGGACCCCACTGGTCACAGCGCACCACGACAGTTGACTTCTGTGAACCACCACCCTCTGGGTCCAACCACGGAGCCAATTCCCCAACCAGAGGATCGTGGTGAGGCCGAGGCTTCAGTTGGCCAGTTTTACTAAGCAGTGATCATGGGATACCAGATCGAAGGCTTTTTTAAACTCAAGATATACGACATCAATCTCTTCTCCTTTGTCCAGGTGATAGGTCACCTGGTCATAGAAGGAAATGAGATTGGTCAAGCAAGACCTATCCACAACAAACCCATGCTGGCTATCCCTCAGGATGTTGCCATCGGCCAGTCTGTTAATGACAGTCTTTTTGATAATCTTTTCTAAGACCTTCCCTGGGATAGAAGTCAGGCTGATGGGCCTATAGTTTGCCGGATCCACTTTCCTCAAGATAGGCACCACATTGGCCTTCTTCCAATCCTCAGGCACTTCACCAGAGCACCAGGAGTTCTCGAAGTTCCGTGTCAGGGGCTGAGCTATGATGCTTGCCAGCTCCTTGGGTACCCTGGGGTGTAAACTGTCAGGGCCGGCTGACTTGAAGGTGTCCAGCCTCCCAAGGTGTTCCTTCATGAGGTCAGCATTGATGGTGGGTAAGGAATGTCTGTCACCCGGGCCTCCCTGTCCCGTAATGGGTAGGGGCGTCCCATGGGACTGGTGAAAGACCAACACAAAGTACCCATTTAGCAAGTTGGCTTTTTCCTGGGCGTTGGTCATCAGTTGTCTCATCTCATTTAGCAGCGGTCCAATGTTGCCCTTGCTTTTCCTCCGGCTCCCCAGATATCTAAAAAAGGACTTTTTATTGTCCATGATACTTGTAGCCAGTTGGAGTTAAGTCACAGCCTTGGCTTTTCTGGTTCGCTCCCTGCAGGTCCTTAGAACCCCTTGATACAGATCTCACAAGAAGCTTGGATTTGATGCAAGGTCTTCAAATTCCCAAGCTAAGGGGAAGGAGGTCTTTTCTACACAAAATAAACATTGTTTTGCTCTGTAGATTCAGCAGTGGGAATTTCCTTTAATGTAGGCAGGGCCTCAGACTATGTAAGGAACCATAATAGTAAAAGGTGAAAAGGGGAAGCTGGTTACCATGCTGGTCCTCTGACAAACTTGTTACCCTACTCCATTTTGCAAGCTACTTAGAAAATTACTGAGTTAAAAAAAAAAAAAAATGTTCCTGAAGGAAACCCAGGTTTTCTGTGAGAACTATGCATCACAAATGAATGAGTGTAGGGGTCCAGAGGGCTCCAACGGGCCTGTACCCAGAAGTAAAATTCTCCTGGAGATTCCAAGTCTGTGGCAAATAAAAGTTGTACTAATGAAGACAAAATGGATCGGTGTTTGGGATCATCACCATATCGGCTGCCAGCAAGGTCGACCTCTGACTGAAGCTACTTAAGGTTGCATAATTATCACAAGGAAGAGACATTTGCCTCCAAAATGGTTTGATAAAACCTTTTCCAGCGTGCAGATTAAAAATTATCTGTATTATGGGTGTCTCCTTACCATGCATGTTTCAGGGACATGGTTTAAACAGAGAAGAGTCCAGACTCCAGTCCATACCATAAGATGCAATAGTGTTTTATGATGTGAGTCCTCCAACATGGTTGTTATTGTAGAACTAGCCAATTGCCCGTCTGGAATGATGGGGGTGGGGGGAGCGTGCGGGGATGGATCCCCATTCCCCCCCATCTGGGCCCGCTCCCCCTTTACCTCCTGTTGCTTGGGGTCCGGGCCCACACCCCCCTTCCCACCACAGCGGTAGGGGGAGGGGAGGAGTGGACCCGGGCCCAATGCAGGGAAGGACCGAGCCCGAGGGTGGGGAAAAGTTGGTCCACCATGGTGGGGGGAGCAGCGGGCCTGGGCCAACCTGG